CCGAGATCTTCCATCTTGAGGGACACATACTCAAAGAAGTTGTGGAACGATACAGCCGAATTTCTCTGAAGGAAATCCAGAGTCACCGGCCGCGACTGAGCTGCTCTTGCCTGCAAGGTGTAAGGTGTGTTTGGAATTTGTGCAATAAAATATGTTAAAATACTTTAAAATACTATAGACTATAGTGACTATATAAGAACACTTGGGCTTTTGTCAGCCAGCCCTCCTCCGCATCCATTCTCCACATCTTGACATATGCTCGCACATTGTCAGGGTGGGAATCAAGTGGTAGAGTAGGACCTGGCAGAGCCTTCCTCTGGCCCTCCTCAACTTCTTCAACTTCATCAGTGCCAGTTAAAGTCGCCAAAGCAGCTTTGGCTTTGCTTTGTGACCAATCTGCCCAAACGGTGGTTGCCGCTTATTCCAAGACACTGCACATGATCTCAGTTCCATAATTTCTTGCCAAATGGAGCCGAAAGATCTTCATTGATTCATGAAGCCGGTGAAAGCACATGTGGGACAGAGATCGAAAGCCAATGTTGTGGTCATTCACGGCTTTCTCCACGCAGACGTAGCCTTGCGGCACCAGAAGAATATCTCCAGCAAGGAAGCAGCCATAGGCAAATGTTGTGAGCTCCCTGAAGGCTTCATGTTCAGGTGTGAGGTTTTGCAACCCATCCAGGCAAGCTTGGATGCTTGAGCAGCCAAGTTCTGACCACAGCTGGTCAATCCTACACAGAGCCACAATCCTGGTTCCTGATGCCTGGATTTGAGCCATGCCTGCACCACCGCTTGCATGGCCAGCGAAGTTAGTGCCCTTTTGGACTGCATAAAGCTGCAACTGGTCCCACTTGGACTTGGAGTCTGCAAACCGCTGAGGATTCATTCTTTCTTGCACCTCTGTGTCCAAATGCTCTGTGAGATTCTCCGAACATCTAAGAGCTGGCTCCATGAGTATGTCCTGCCAGGGCCAGCTGCGAAAATATTGAGAGGGTATGGTATGGTGGAGGTATGCAAACAAAAGGAACTGTGGCAATTAGTAAGGCAAACAGTTCGGCCTTTGTTGCCAAAAACAATTACTGTACCGTAGCCGTACCCGTAAGTTGATCAAAACCGACTCCTTGTTGGTTTCTTCCAGCACGCGTTCAAGCAGATCATCCATAGACACTGCCCTGGCCACCTCCGTATCAATGTCATTCAGCACTTGCATTCGTCTTGTGGCAGTTGACTTGGGATTCGCGAACTCTGCGCAAATGTCTGATGTGAAAGTACGGGACGCTCCAAGAAGTACAGTGTTGATTTGCTTCACGTACTTCTGATCCTCGAAGCTTTGCTCCTGACTTGTCACAAGACCCCCTGACCCTGACCCCCTGGAAGAAACATGAACTTCCCAACAAAAACACATAAACAAACAACTACCCCAGCCATCACCCAACAAAAACATGCAAGGCGAAACTCCGAGCTTCCAGAACCTTTTTCAAAGTTGCCCTTCTCGCACGGATTATGACTGGCTGACAATCTGCATAGTACTGAAGTCCCAAGTCCTGATCCAAAACTTGGAACTTGGGAAGATGAAAATAGAACTTGGATCTTGGGAATTGGGCCCAACATCAAACATCCAAATCAAGGCAACAATTTGTAAAGCTTGCAATAGTCTTTGCAAGGTTCAAAGTCTTCCACCACCTGTATTGCTGAATCCGTGAACTTTGATTGGAGAACTAGTGGATCTGTATCAGTCAACTCTGACCATACATTTGCAGGGGCTCTGCGCTTCTTCTGAGGTGGGATCTCCGTTGTCGGCCCTCCGGGCCCTGCTGATCGCTTTTTGTTCTCATCCTCGACCTCGCCCTCCTGCTCCTGTTGGTCTTCCTCCTTCTTCTCTGCCTGCTGCTTCTTTGCCAGCCTATCCCGCAACTTCTGTTCCTTCTTTTGCTCTGTCTTTTGACGCTTTTGCTCACGAGCCAGCTCCTTCTGTTCTTCCTGACAGGGGTGTGACAGGGGGAAACAACGACTGCGCTGAGCTACCCAATTGAAATAGAAATTTAATCACTTAAGACTTAAGCAATGTATTAACAGGTATACAATACACAAGCTAAACTTGTGAAGCCGACTCCTTCATTTCCAATTCCCGGGCTTTTTTGACGGCAGCTGCTTGTTGTGAAAATTGTTTGGCTGACGTAATCAAACCAGTGGCCAGGCTGTTCATATGCACAAGTGCCCTGCCGTGCAGCTCGTACCCGGTGTGGACGTCGTCAACACATCCCAAAAGGTCAGAATTGTTGCGAAACACTGACAGTTGGCCCACCGTTTGTGCTTCTTCCCTTAGCGCTCCAAGCTCAACAAAGAAGGCATCATCCTTCATCAAGGCCCACAAAGATGCTGAGATTGACTGACCACGGACTGGGTCAACGTCAGGATCGTTTGCAAATTGAGCCTTGCTCGCACAAACGCACCCTAGGACTATGCTTGTCTGCATCGTGACCGGACCTACCCCAATGCAGATGTTAAAAAAACAATGCAGATTTCAACAACCAAGTAACCATGGTCAATCGCTTGTTGATTTCACGCAGAGCTGGGTGGGTGTCGAACATGTCCTCCGTGATCCCTTCATCATCCCGAACCTCCACCACTCAACACAAACAGGTGATTGGCAAGCTGTGCTGTGCTACAATGATTCGAAAACACTTTTCTTTGCCTTCGCCAAGAGGTGCTTGGCGGACGCAATCGCCGTTGTCAAGTTTCTCTTGAGATCATTGAAAGGTCTCATTGACAAACGCCTTGATGTCATCGACGCTGTCACCACACTGCCAGAAGGGCCAGAAGGTCCACCCTTGGGCGGCTTGGTGTTCTTGGGCTTGGTCCCCTTGCCCTTTCCCTTGCCCCCAGCTAGTGGAGCAGCGGTAGATGGCATCACATAGAACTCCTCAGTGTCATCGCGCAAGCTGGTGGCTAAGGATTTGCACTGCTCCTCCATATTCTGCGCAGCCTCCTCCCCCGGATTTTTGATTTGCCCAACCTGCTTCTTCAAGTCCATGAACTTGTCCTGAAGTACTGGCACCAGGTATGGGCATGTGTCTAGGGCTATGGAAATAGTGCGAGCTATGATTTAGATATATTTAGAGTGTACAGACTGGCAAGACTGTTTTGAACAAGTTTCGTCAAATTGGATTCGGGACTTCTCTCGTGGCAAATCCACATACAAGGCCCATGCATAGCCACCAGTCCATTCCCCTAGCTCGTTGAATTGTTTGAGTTGTTCCCGATCCACAGAACGATCCGCGAACTCCCTCTTCCACCTGTGCTCTGCCCCTTCACGGGACAAACCTCAGAGATTCACGGGAGACTTCGGGGACTCTAAAGAAACATCTGTGTTTGCATGTGCAGAAAAAAAACTAAGGGGGTAGCGTTGACAAGATGGAACTTCCCCTGTCTTCCCGGTGTAGAAATCTACATAGTCTTGGAAGCACTTGGGAACACTGCGGACACCTACTTGCTTTCGCTCGCCGATCTGACGATGTTCATCCAACACAGCAAAATCAAAGGACTTTGGCTTTCCTTCGGCTGTGCTGGCTTTTGGGCGTCCTGGCCCCTTCTGCAACCTTAGTTGTCCGTGTTTCCGTACCCAAATCCCACCCAACAAAACATAACATGTTTGTGCGTAACCAGTCACCTATAGGACCTGCAGCCTATAATCTATTATCACTCACTTAAGAAAAAGTCCAGTAGCCCGTCACAGAAGGTGTTGAACAAGGATAGATATCGTTGTGGGTCTGTCTTCTTCAAGTTCACAAGCTCCTGCTCCTTACCTGCCTTAGCGGCCTGCAAGTGAAATGTCTTTTCCTTGCTGGTATCCTTGCCACAGAACTGCAAAGAAGCACCAACTTTCATTTGGATCTGAGTTCCACAACGATCACATGGGATAAGCCTCAAAGCAAGCGATGGCGCTTGCAAACCGGATGCCACGTGTTTGGCCTGATCACCTTGCAATGGCATTTCAGGCGACATGCTGCCGTCATTCCCCGCATCAGCAGCCATGCCTAAAACCCACACTTAGATGACCAAAGCACACAACTCGCTGCACAGAAATCACCACTAGGGCTTAAGCAAAATGCTTTGGCGGAATAACACCAGTTCAACGTTTGCCTCAATGCCTCATGATCTCACGTCCGTTCCTGTCATGTCCTTTCCTGAACAAGCAACACACCAAGAGCGCCAAGAAAGATAGGCAACGTTTTCGCACACAACATTCCTGAAAGCTACATCAGCTTAAGCGTGCGCAACAGTCAAGAACTAAATCAGCTTGAGCGTGCACAAAAGTGTACAATGAACGGCTCCCACAACTGCAAGGTGCATTGCCTCAGACCCAGAATCAAAGGAAAGCAGAGAGTGGGCCCTGGGCGGCAACAAAAAGCTAAGTAAAGCGCATTCCCTGCAAGCTTCTTCTTTTGGCAATCGGTCGGCTGGAACCCTCCAAACATGGGACGCTTGATCAAGCTCCCGTCGTTCAGCAATTCAGGATACATCGGGCACCCCATTGCGCAAAGATGTTCCTGAGTCTGGCATATGTTATCATATGTTTTCTTTATCATATTGTTTGACGAAACACGCAGAAGGTAGTGCTGAATATTGACACAATTCTTGACACAGTTTGAACCAGGAGACAGATCCTGTCATGGCTCGTTCCTCAATGCTTTCTGGGTGATCTTGCGCAAGAAGCCACATAACGCCAGCCTTCAAAAACAGCTGTAGAAAGCGATTAGCTTCTAGTGAAGATTTTGGGTTCTGGTTCAAGTTGCAGATCATGAACGCCAGCCTTTAACAACGTCGGTAGAAAGCGATTGGCCACTGGTCTTGACTTCGGGTTCTGGTTCAAATTGCAGATCATGTATTTGGGTCCTTTGCTGTGCGAAACACAAGAAAAAAAAACAGCGCATGATGCTGCTTGTTGCTACAGCAACAATGAAACACATTAATCCAATCCAATTGTCGGCTTGACTTCTTTTCAAACCTTTTCTGGACCTTCTTGAGGGTACAGTATCCATCTCGGTACACCGGCTTGGCACCTGCAGGCTATGGTTCATATATGTTAGAATCACACTGATGCTCACTCTGACACAAGCGTTGCGGTTACAAAGCCGCAGCCAGCCTTGAAGAAAATTCTTGAAAGGATCTGTAGAAGGCCTGGCGGCCTTCTTTGCCTGGGCCTTCCTTAAGGCAGCAATCTCTTCCTGCAAAGTGCAAAGCAAATGGCAATGATTCTTTTGGTGACTCCAGACTCCGGTCATGGTTCAAAGTTTGTCATACTGTTCGGGTCACATGTGTGCTCCTTGGGAGCACAGAACAAATCCGCCACCTGCATGTTTACCTTCATGTAGAGATGCTCCATGCATGCAAGGCCTCTGCCTTGCAACATGCATACAGACTTGTTGGTCAGGACTGTGTAAAGCCTCCAGCGCAGCTGAACATATAACATCTTTATATAACCAATATGATTGAACACAAAGCAAGAGTTTGAGAAAGCAGGAATTTGAATCATACAATGATGGCCTGGGTCTTGAACAAGGCCATCCAAAGAGAGTTGGTGAGAGAAGCCACACGCGGGGGCCACCGACTTTTGCGTTCCGAGATAAATCTTTCCATGCGTGCGGTTCTTCAAAGCGATGAATTTCAAAGGACTCGCCAAGATACTTCTGGAAGACTGACTGGTCAAAATAAGGAGTGCACTCGTGGATGGCTACTGCCTAAAATGCGTTCCCTGCCGTAATGACACCAGAATGGTACTGAGACTGACCGCCACTAATGCAAACAAGCTGCTGGCTTCCCATGTTTGATCATGGAAAGCCAAATAGCCAGATACCGTGAACTGTCTCCGAGAAGCTTTGCTCGTTGTCCTTGCGTGAAACTGAGACGGACAAACATCCAATATTCCTGGACAAGCCATTGAATTGAACAGTTCCAGTCATGGACAAGATTCCAATCATTGACACATCCGTGCATGTTGTTCCAGCAGTGTAGACACGGATCGTGACCCTACCATCATCATTTGGGATAGTCTCTGCTCGTGCATGTCCAACGGGCGAAAGACAATCCTGAAGGCACCAGGCACTGATGTCTCAAACGATAATCCCCAACAATAATGTGTGACACCGGTTCCCTTTTTCTCCTTCCCGTGTGTTTTGCACGGCTGGTTGTCCACAAACACAGAAGGATCTGCCAAGACCTTCATGTAGCTGTCTAAAAGCTGCTCCCCAAACTGGTGTTTGATATCATCCTCTTCAGAAGGTTCACTCATGCCTTGGCTGCCCAGCAGCAGAAATTGGTGACTGTGTGTGTTGCCCTAAAGCAGCGATCTTTAACCAGGTAACTCATGGTCACCGTCATCAATGTATTAATCTCTGAGCGTGCCAAATCCAATTTCTTCCTAGCCTCCTTGCTTATCATATGTTCCAGGTTGTCCAGCACATGTTGTGGGCGATTTTCCTTGGCGGCTGCGGCTGGGTTATTGTTTGCCTTACTAGTTGTTCACTGATTCTTGCTACCATGAATCTTCTGACAAATTTCCCAAAGCCTTTTGGCATAGTTTATCACAGTCACAAGCGGTCAGGGTTCTAACTCCGTCTGCTGGCGCTGCCAAACCTCAAGAACAAGTATTTCTACGTCAGATTGGATACCAACATTGAACTGTTTAATCCCCAATAATGAGGAAGAGAAACGCAAAGCCTCTGCTAAAGCACGATGCTGAAGTTTGAAAGCTGTCGACCCATTGCCCGTTCCCGCAAAAGAATCGAATACCTCAATCTTGCAAGTGCGGAATAGCTCCTTGAAGTTCTCGATGAACACAGGGTCAGCCAAGAACATTTTGGAAGCGTTCCCTGCTGCCCAATCAAAAAGGTCTGAATATTCACTCGAACCTTTTGGCCAGACATTGGTACCCTCCTGATCTGCTTCACATTCCTTGGCACGGCGTGTGAGGGGTGTAGCAGCTGCAAAGGGCGTGCAAAGGGCTGCAAATGGCATGCAAGAAAGAGTTGTCAATGACCAATTGAGGCACCTACTTGTTCGGAAGACGATCCATCATGTTCTGAATGTATCATGGCAGATTCATCTGGGCGTTCAGGTTCATTCTGACAAGGAGGTTCTGGCTCCAGGCTTGTTGACGAAGACGAACTCGAACTACTACTGCTACCAGACTTCCCACTTTGCATGGCTCACAAAGTGTCGGTTCGTGCTGTTTGTGCCAAGAAGATCTAAGCGAACGCACACAGTTGGTAGGCAAATAGGTACACAGCATGCGGCGTAATAATGTACAGAGAGACTGGAAACACTGAGCAGGATGAAGTTTTGGCACTTCCTTCTGAGAGTTTTGGCATGGTCTTGATTATCTTGCACAGGGCTGATGCGCAATCAACTTGTCCAAATGTTTTCCTACTTACTCTACCCTGCAGTTCCTAGAATGTACACATTCCTTAATTACTGCACAAAATCCTTAATTACTGCAGCCCCTGCAGTAATTAAGGATTTCTACGACGCTTTCCGCGTGTTTGGAGCAGTGAATAAGCTCTATCCAGCTACATTTGCATCTATTTAACTGCTTACTGAGTGCATAAAGTGTCGTAGAAATCCTTAATTACTGCAGGGGCTGCAGTAATTAAGGAATTTGTGCAGTAATTAAGGATTTTGCACAGTAAGTAAGAACCTTGTGCAGTGTTTATGAACAGAACTTGTTTTCGGCAGCAGCCCTGGCCCACACTAGCCCCAAAGTATCCAGAAAGCGCTGCTTGCTGGATGCACAGTGAAATATCTTGACTACAACAAAGTCATCACTCCGGCTGAGCCTTCCTCAATAGTCATAGAAGTCATAATCCCGCAATCGCATTAGCAAGTTGTGCATATCATTTGCCAGCCTGAGAAAACAGAGTCAGTCTGGAAAGCTTACACAAGCCAGCCACCATGTCAAAGCACTACATGTTGAATGTTAGTCCCAGAAGCTGTTCAGAGCTGCCCAATTGTTCTTCTTCTTCCGGGATCTCAACCTGATGGTTGCAGGATCTACTTGTGTTTTCCCACCAGGAAAAAGACATGTATGTTGCTGCACAAGATGTTGGACATGTTGCTGCCTGAACATGTTCACACCAGGGTGCCTGAACATGTTGCTGCCTCCTTTGTTCAGGATCGATCAATGGTGCGCCCATCACTTGCATCAGTTCTTGATGTTCAAGTTCTTGCTTGAGTCCTAAACACGACGATCACGCTTTTATGTGGAAAGCAGTATTTTTAAGTGTAAATTGCAGCAAGCAAACAAACCTTTGAGGCACGGGGGAGGTGCTTCTTCAGATTGTTTGATTGAATAACATAAGGACACAGATTGAACACAGCGACGTCAGAAACCCGGGCCTTCCCGCATCCAGTACTTTAGTCGCATTCTCACCACTCTTGAATTCGGCTTGTCAATGCTGATCCTTTTCTGACATGTGTGTCTTTTTCCAGTTGAATCTTTGTGTGTGTGAAGGTCGCAATAGAGATAGAGATAGGACACCTCAAAGGCAACACAACTTGGCAGTGGAACAAGAGTAGCAACAGAAGTCTGTGACAATACACGTTTTCTCTTACAGTACAGAAGTCTGTGAAAACTGTACGTCTGTGGCAAGGCGCCCGATCTTCACGTTTTCTCTTACGGATTGTGAAGCGTCCATCTAGCACTGACTCTCGTTCTGGATCTGCTTGTTCACGTGGTTCATGTGGAAGAGCGGCCGGTTCCATATTCCCGTCCAGGTGGTGCAAGCGGCCGGGCTTATTATATAAATATATTATAGGTAAAATATCAATCAATCAATCAATCTATCTATCTATCTATAGATCTATCTTTGTAATATATATATATATACATACAGACAAATGTTGATGTTTGTGCACATGTGTGTGTATTTCATATTCTTGTTCCCCCTTTTGGGCATGCTTACATATATGAAGATTACATTTAAGGTTGAGCTAAAAGACTCCAACTACACAAATAGACTCTGGAAGCAAGTGCTGAG